TTCGCCGTCGTTGTCGTTACCACAACCACCACATCAAATAGCCAATCGCCCATAACTTTTTATTTTAATTTTTTTCTTATTTTCTTTGATTTTTTTATTTTTCTTGATTTTTTTTGTTTTTATTTAATGTGGTAATTCTAAATTTACCATTTTATCCTTTTTAATTTGGTCAAAGTTCACTTTTCTTGGTCAATTAACGGTTACATAGATGGAAACCGTCAAGTTGGACTCTAGATGCATATTTTTAAAAGGTTAGGGACATCTGCTAGCAAAAATTAAATGTTAGAGTAAAGTCTACAAAAATTGAAAATGTTAAGGACTTCTACTGCAATTTTCCCTAAAATATATGATGGGTTCGACTTAAGTCCACTCATCGATGGTTGGAAAGTTTGAAATGTGAAACTTGCAAACACAAAGTCTTTATGGAATTAAAAAAGGTAATTGGCACATAACGTCTATTAATGTAAAAAAATTTTGTATATTTTATTTTTAGCATTTTTACCCTTAATTGCACATTTGATTGTGAAACTATCTTTTTATCGATTTTTATCCAATTTCTCAATAAAAAGTGCGAAATAACGAATATACCCTCTTACTTCAATTTTTTTTAAAAAATAAAATAAAATTAAGAACTAATTGCAAAACCACACTCCCAAATTTTTTAAAAATAAAAACGAGTCCCTAATGAAATTTAAAAATTAGATATAAAAAAATAATTTAAAAAAGTGAAAACGAGTTCCAAATAAATTATTACAAAATTAGAAATTAGAAATTTTTATTTTCTTTATTTTCCCTTTTTTAAGAAAATAAAAAGGTTTATTCATTACTTTATAGCTTTTATTAAGAAATTGGATGAAAATTGATAGAAAGCATGGTTTGCTCAATTAAAGGTGTAATTAAGGATGAAAATGTCAAAAAATGAAAGATGTGGACGTTTTTCATAATAATATTGAAAGAAAGGATATTATGTAATTACTTTTTCAATAATTTATTTGAGACTCGTTTTTAGTTTTTAAAAAAAATTGGTATTATAACTACAATTAGTTCTTTCTTTTTCTTTTTGTTTTATTTGTATAAAAATGTATATTTGTCATTTCACAGTTTTTAATTGAGAAAATGGATAAAAATAACATTTTGCGCAATAAAATGTAGAAATGAGAGTGAAAATATCAAAAAATGAAAAGTAAGGACTTTTTTTCACAATAAAGACGCTATGTGCTAATTACCCAATTAAAAATGATCTTATTAAAAGTACATGAAAATATCGTACCAAAGTCGTCATGAAAAAAAAATTTAAAAAAAAAATTGAAGAGATCTCTTAAAGAGAGAGTAAAAAAGTTGGTTGTAACCAACGACAACGTATTTGCTTTGTATAAGAAAGAGTAAGAAATGATCAACAATCTTGACCAAATTAAGCAAAATTTCTTCATAATTATTTCATAAAAACAAGTTATGTAATCAATTACGCAATCATAATCTAGTGATTTTGTCTTTAATTACCTTAAACCTAGTTCAGAATTGGTCTCCTGTTGATTATCAAAGGTATAACAAAAATACACTAATAAATTGATCTTGCAATTTTATTTTTTAATGTTCGACAATCTTGACCAAATTAACCGAGCAAAATTTCTTCATAATTAGTTCATAAAAACAAGTTATGTAATCAATTACGAAATCATAATCTCGTGGTCTTGTCTTTAATTACCATCAACCTCGGTCAGAATAGGTCTTCTGTTGATTATCAAAGGTATAACAAAAATACACTAATAAATTAATCTTGCGATTTTTTTTTTCCTTTTTTTAATATAACCTTAAAACTTGTTCAAATTTGGCGTCCTGTTGATCATCATATCATAGGTATGCGAGGGACACTAATAAATTAATATAGAATGTGATGTTCGCGCCAATTTCCTTAATCTCAAACATTGAACACTCTTTGGCCCATGACATGACATGGACGTTGCATTAGCTTAGCCATTCAAATTGTATTAGCACCCGTTTGACCCCATTTTTTGAAATGAAAATAGGTGGAATAGTATTTTTTTTTTTTTTAAATGAGTGATTGAAAAAAAAAGGAAAAGTTTTCGATTTACATTTAATATTATTTTATGAAAGATAATCTAATTGAAAATAAGAGAGAGAAAAATGAAATATAATTCACTGGGGCCAAACGGGACTAAATCATTCAAAAGGATAATAAATGGAAGAAGAATACAAAGACATGGCAGCTTTGGTACTTGCGATTTGAATAACTCATGGTCATGTTCAGAATTTTCTTATTTTCACATGCATTACTATCCACTTTTCTATGCCGATGTTTTGGTTATAATTTAAATCAAATTTTTAGTAAATTTTGATAGATACTGATGAAATGTGTAATTGAAAAATTGTAAAATCTCTAAATAGTTATGCTGTGTGTACATTTTCTGTGTACACACACGTTGACACCCCCTCCATGTGAGGGGGTATAAAGCTTTGTGTACACATAGCATAACACATCCCTAAAATATACGATTGAAATGAATTACTGACTTTAATTTAAATTTATATTTATATTTTAATCATTACAAAAAATGGGCTATATATATACATTACTATCCATTTTTCTATATATAATAATATGTAATGCGTGGCAGTGCGTTTCAATCGAGTATTAAACATTATAAGAATAATCGTGCCTATGCGATGCATATGCGTAATTATGCATTTTCTAATTTTTAACATTACTTTAAATATTCTAAACTAATAAAGTAATGCATTCTTTAAATTTTATGCATATTCTTCAAAATTTTCAAAAAATAAAAAATGTTGCTCAAAATCATAAATACTATAATTACTTGAACTTTGTACATATTCATCAATTTTTTTTTAAAAATATAATGCTCAAAATTATAAATACTACAATTGCTTGATAATTAATTCCTACAATTAGATTAGTTATGAATATTGGTTAAAAAAAAATCCTACATATTGTCCTAACTTTTTATTGGTTTTCAATTCAAACTCCTCTTCATCCAAGTCATTTTCCATGTCATCCGATATAAAATCATCTTCAGCGGGCTTCCTTATTTCAACTCAAAAAGTTCTATTACCTCTTATAGATGTAGGATATTTTGCATCATACTAAGCGAACACTATTGAAATATTTTTGCTTGGAACTATTATAATCAAACTAATTTGCTCATTATGTTCTAGAGATAAAAGCATTTCCAAGAAACTTTTTAAATATAAAATACTTTCTATTTTAGAGAGCCAATTCTTAAAAATGAATTTCAAGAGACTCTTTATTTTAACTTTTTAAAATAAAGAGTGTGTTTGGCTCTCCAAATTTAGTGAGTTAAACTCACTCTCTATTCTTAATATACAATGATTGCATTTAGCCCCCATTTAGCCTCAATTAATTTTTATTTTTTTCTTTCTTATTTTTAACAATATAATCTTCCATAAAATAATATTACACATAAATTGATCGAAATTTTTCCTTCTTTTTTAAAAAAAATAAAAATATTCCACTCATTTTCATTTCAACAAAATGGGGCCAAAAGGGGGCTTACTACATTACAAATTTCAATACTCTACAATTTAAAATTTTTAAATTACATTTGAATTGATTGATCATTAATATATAAAAAATTATACTTAAATAAAATACGTATAGAATTATTAAATGTTCATTGAAAAACGCAAAATAAATAATCAAAGTTGAAAGCTTGTTAGAATGTATAAAAAAAAAGTACTCTCTAAATAAAGAGTCTTTTAGAAATGTTCTAATTATACTGCTTTTCGTTATGCTCCTTGTACAGTACCTTTACACATCAATTTGCACAGTCTTCTTATATGGGTGAACCTCGCAATTATTTTAATGGTGGACTACACCATTTTCATGTAAGAGGATTGTGGAACTTGTTGTATAAAGTGATTCCCGCTTTCATTATATGGAGCATTAATGGCCAGGCACATTGTCCAATGAGTCATGTGTACAAATAAGTATACATTTTAAGTAATTTGACTAGCTTGACGCCATGACTCCCTGCCTTGTTATTTGGACCAGGAATTTCTAGAACATATCAGCCATGAGCTCAGAAATTTTGAAATTGCATGCTCTCCCCTTTTTTTTCAACAAGATTTTAAAATATAGACTTGCCCTTAAATTTTCTTTACAAATACCTACTATCTTTGATTTTTATTTTTTTGTGATTAGAAAATGTTTTATGTCTCGATTAATTGTTTAATTAACATAACAATGATGGAAATTTCCTAAGTTTAAGGATTCAAACTTCTAACGTACCTTTTTTTCCAAGTAAATGTTGTCTCTCTCTCACATCATAAGAGCTCGTGTAAACCATTTTACATTATTCACTTCCTTCCTCCTTGTGTGTACTAAAAAAATCCATCAAATTCATTCAATTTTCAAACCATCTCTATTTCTTCCTCCATTATTAAGTTCGTTCTTCATAATTTAACGATCGTGAAACTTAATTCTATAAAATTTCTCAATTTTTTTCTATTGTTAAATTAGTTTGGTGATGGGTATATATCAATAAATTGTCAAGCCATTCTGTAGTAAGTATCGGTCTCTCATGTAATAACTAATAAATACATAAATTATCCATAAACTTAATACGTGAATACAAGTCATTAGTAACCATTATCATAAAAATAATTTCAGTGATTATTGATTACTGAAAACTTTAATGACAATAGATGTAATTAACTTTAAAAAATAGTTCTAATGCTGTCTTTTTGCCATTTTGGAGATTTCTGTGCAGCAGGTAGTGGTTGGCCTTTTTCTATAAAATTACTGTTTATTCTTTTTTCGTAAGGTTAAGACCCCACTGATATTACAATACTAAAGCGTGTAGCCCAAAATTTTAGCCTCGATTTACTATTTTATAATGGTTATAACTAAAATAGTAGGAGGGAGGGAGGGTGAATTACCGAACCCAATATTTTATACCCACAATTCTTGATATATAAACCCGTAGTACAAAGTCTAAATCCATCATCTAAATCAAGAATTTTCAGTCCACCTGCTAAAATTATTGTTTCTTCAAAAACACACGAAAAAAAAGCAATGAAGAAAGCCACATATACTCTTGCTTCAATTCTGGCCTTGGTGTTCTTGTTCGGTGCAAATTCTGTAAATGCTCAAGAAGTTGGTAATGCAAGAAATGTTTTATGAACATACATAGTTGAATACTTGAATGTGTTTATATGTGCACGTCTCTGTGTTCTTTTCTTTCAGGACTTTCTTGAATCTGAACTGGGATTTTTGTTTTGTTTTCTTGTTTTTGCAGAGGATGAGAGAGAATTTGATTACGCAAAGGGAAGTGATAAGGGTCCGAGAAAATGGGGCGAGTTGAAGAAAGAATGGGCAGCATGCAAGGATGGTAAATTGCAGTCTCCCATAGATATGTCCAATGAAAGAGTAAGAGTAATTACAAAGCCAGAAAAAAGAAATTATAAGCCTTTCAATGCCACTCTCAGGAATAGAGGTCATGATATTTCGGTAAGGAGAGCTTAATTAAACCATAATTAAGGCATCTTTCTATGTCTATTTACCAACATGAAATAATATTATGAACTTTGCTACATGTACACTATAGTATACACTTTAGTTTATACTTTGTCACGTGTCATTATTTTATTGAATAGTTTAAATTTCAAACAGTTTTTTCATCCAATTAACACTTGACAACAATGCAAATGTGAATCAGTGTACAAATAGCAAATTTCTAATATTATTTGGCTTCATGTGGGTGTAATACCAATTATTGCATTCTTTATATTTTCCAGTATTTTGTAATTCAACTCCTCCTTGAATGATCATGTAGCTTATGAGGATTGATAGTTGGCTTAGGGCATAATTTAAACTAATTAGTTTTTGTTTGTTAGCTTTTTAAGTGAGTCATACCAAATGTGTAGATAAAAAGTTGATGAATATGTAAAATGTGCAGATAAAATCTATGTTGGTGGCTATTACAAATTATAATATAAATTTTTCCTTTAACGCTCTTAGTTTATTATGTCTCCTTACTAATAACTTGAGTTTTACACAAGTTAATTCAACTCCAGGAGCGGAGGGAGGGGGATAGGTCTGGGCAGGCCCAATAATTTTCTAAGAGGATAAATCTTTTTTTATGAAAATTTTATTTTTTTCAATATATCAGTCCAATATTAAAAAAATTTCCCCGTCTCTGCTAAAATCAATCGCCACATATTAAAGAAGAAGCTGTCATCATAATTCTAATTTACATTTTTATAAAAATATTACCAGCAAATTTTTAGCTCTAGCTGTTGGATGAACATATGTGTATTTGTATATATACTATCAAAGCGATAAGTATCACAACCAGGGGCATAACAAAATGTAAATGATTTTCGGGATATAGTCTAGTGTAAAGTTTGGCTCAAATTTTTCTTTTAGTTCATTTTAACTGAATAAAAGTTAATTAGGGGGAAAAAAAAAAGAAAAGAAAAGGATTAACCTTTGGCTTAAAATATACTTCTACCTCATAAAATTGGTCTACTTTTCAACTAAATTATAAAAAAAAAAAAAAATAATAATAATAATAAAATTAATTAAAAATGACCCTAGCCCATCGTAAAAAATATTTTTCTAGTTCTGCTTGTAATCACTGGAATTTTATTTTGAAAATGTAACATAAAATGAGTTGAGTCTGCATGTGAGCTGATGTGTTGAAGATGAATATTAATGTCTTCTGATTTTAGACGATGTAGTTCAAGAATTAACTATCGAAATCTCTCCACATGCAGCTTCGTTGGCATGGTGATGCAGGATCAATTTTGATCAATGGGACAGAGTACCCACTTCAACAAGCACATTGGCACTCTCCTTCTGAGCACACTATTAATGGTAGAAGGTATTAGCATTTGGCACTTCATGACTCTGTGGGCTACTGGGCTTGTTTGTTATTTTTTATTTTTTTATTTTTTCCATTGTACATATCAGAATAGATGCTCAAGTATTACACACCTCTTACAGGTACGACATGGAACTGCACTTGGTACACCAAACGTCCGACCTAAATGTGAGGAGCAGGACAGCTGTTACTGGCGTCTTCTACAAGATTGGCAAACCTGACAAATTTCTCTCCAAGGTAAAAAATCCGAAATAACACTAGATACATGACAATATTCCTTACTTATTACGTCACACACATTACCAATGTTCTAAAAAGTATAAAGGGTAAAGCGCGGCGGGACTTGAAGGCCAAGCATCGGGTTAGGCTACACGTAAAAAAAAATAAAAAAGCATTTTCTTATTTTAATATTATATTAAATTTTTAAATAAATATAAAAATCATTTAGTAATTAAAGAAAAAAAGAGTAAAAGTGTAAAAAAGCGTGACTAGGAGCCAAAAAAAGCAAAAATTAAAATAATAATAATAATAATAAAAAGTGCGATGTGTGCTCCTAAATGACGCTTTTTAGAACAGTGCATACTACTCAATTTAATTATTAGGAATAACAATAAATGAAATCTTATTCTTAAGAAAATTCATCTATATTAGTTCTTTTTTGTAGTACTGTTCATTATTGCCATTCTCTTTTTAACTGCAATGTTCCCATGATCTCACTCTGCAGTTAATGACAAATATATCATCCATGATTGATCAGAAGGATGAAGAAAGAAATATGGGAATAATTAACCCTAAAGATATTAAAATGAACAGTCAAAGGTATTACAGATACATGGGATCACTTACTGTTCCTCCATGTACCGAAGGTGTTATCTGGACTTTAAACACTAAGGTATGGCCTTAATTAAAACACAAACAAACTCTATATTTTAAATCTTTCACCAATTAATTAATCATTATTAATTTGAACCATTTTTAGGTGAAGACTGTTTCAAAAGATCAAGTTAAGTTGCTTAGAGAAGCCGTCCACGACGTAAGTTATCAAGCATTGCCGAGTTATTTTGAAACTTAATCAGATATTAATTAATATAATTATTTTATTATTGATTTAATTGTTTGCAGTATGCAGAAGAAAATGCAAGACCATTGCAACCACATAACAGTCGAGATGTTTACCTTTATGGCCCAGGAGATACAAGTGATTGATCATTGATCACTAACATTTTATTAATTTTGATCCTCATCACCAGCCAACACTATTGTACTGAATCGTTTTTTCAATAATTTTTAGTACATTATAGCCAATTATTGAAATAAAAAAAAATGTTTGAAGCATTTGTTTAGATATTTCCTTTGACTTTGAAATTCTAATATATCTTCTTGGAAAATATTAGAGCAAATTATAGAGACAATTTTGAAGTTTACTTTTTCGTCTAATATTCAGATACCTCGTAGGGTGACTTTGAAATTGTCTCAAAATATATTATAATTATAAGAAACTTATGATTCGTCTCTAATCATAATCAACTGAGTGCATTAATGTCTAGCATTTGTATTGATGTCCAATGGTCAGTTATCAAATGAACTTCATGTTTAATAATTTCTTTCTACAAATTCATTTTCTCATTGTAAAACCAATTAATTTTGTGGCACATGTAATATTAAAGAATTAATTAAAAGTAATTAATATTGCTAAATCCTATTGGCCCAATTGAGAAATGACAGTTTTATAATAATTCACTTTAATGAAAAGTAGGTACTTTTTATGGCCCATAAGAAATTGCTTCTCTTTGCTTATAAACGTGAATGAACCCATCAATTAAATCATTCAATTATAGAGAGGAAAAGTGAGAGAATTGTTTCTTTAAATTAACAGTTTATTTTTTGCAAATTCAATTACTCAATTATTGCAGTGGATCAGGGTATGTTTTTTGATCAATTAACCTATATGTGAAAATCATAGAATTCTCAAAATCTTGGAATTAAGGTTAATTGCTCACATGTGGTATCAGAGCCATGTTAAAGAATTCTTAATTTTCCTTTAAAGATTATTGTTTTCCACTTATTGATCCTTACTCATTTATTGTAGATTTATGGATTAAGATCTAAAATTAGAATAAAATATCGCTATTGAATATTTTGACAACTGTTAAATTGAATGTCATTAGAAAGCATGAATTAGTGATTCTCAAGATTTGGGATGCCGTACTGTACACTTATGCTATATTCATTTTAAGCTCTTGTTTGTCAATCATTCTCTCACATTTTATCACATTGTTTTTTCTATAATATTTATTTTCAATCACACATTCTCCATTATAATAATACTGCACATATATCAATTTTTTTTAATCACACATTTCAACATCAATCACAATTCCATACTCTAATTTTTGAAATTAAAGGGCCACAAACTGGCCTAAATTGATTTGGAAAAGGGTCGGTGCATTTGTATTTCCAATCATGAATTATGGACGGCTTAATGTTCTGAAAAGTAGAGTTGGGTTGGCCACAGTGAATTGAATAATGAGTAAAGGGAATAAATTTTTATTATTTTTTTCTTTTTTGGTCAAACATTTTCTAAGGCCTCAATTTCCAAGAATATGGCAGAAGTATTTTTAAAAAAGAGTAAAAGTGTAAAAAAGCGTGACTAGGAGCCAAAAAAAGCAAAAATTAAAATAATAATAATAATAATAAAAAGTGCGATGTGTGCTCCTAAATGACGCTTTTTAGAACAGTGCATACTACTCAATTTAATTATTAGGAATAACAATAAATGAAATCTTATTCTTAAGAAAATTCATCTATATTAGTTCTTTTTTGTAGTACTGTTCATTATTGCCATTCTCTTTTTAACTGCAATGTTCCCATGATCTCACTCTGCAGTTAATGACAAATATATCATCCATGATTGATCAGAAGGATGAAGAAAGAAATATGGGAATAATTAACCCTAAAGATATTAAAATGAACAGTCAAAGGTATTACAGATACATGGGATCACTTACTGTTCCTCCATGTACCGAAGGTGTTATCTGGACTTTAAACACTAAGGTATGGCCTTAATTAAAACACAAACAAACTCTATATTTTAAATCTTTCACCAATTAATTAATCATTATTAATTTGAACCATTTTTAGGTGAAGACTGTTTCAAAAGATCAAGTTAAGTTGCTTAGAGAAGCCGTCCACGACGTAAGTTATCAAGCATTGCCGAGTTATTTTGAAACTTAATCAGATATTAATTAATATAATTATTTTATTATTGATTTAATTGTTTGCAGTATGCAGAAGAAAATGCAAGACCATTGCAACCACATAACAGTCGAGATGTTTACCTTTATGGTCCAGGAGATAAAAGTGATTGATCATTGATCACTAACATTTTATTAATTTTGATCCTCATCACCAGCCAACACTATTGTACTAAATCGTTTTTTCATTAGTTTTTAGTACATTATAGCCAATTATTGAAATAAAAAAAAATGTTTGAAGCATTTGTTTAGATATTTCCTTTGACTTTGAAATTCTAATATATCTTCTTGGAAAATATTAGAGCAAATTATAGAGACAATTTTGAAGTTTACTTTTTCGTCTAATATTCAGATACCTCGTAGGGTGACTTCGAAATTGTCTCAAAATATATATAATAATTATAAGAAACTTATGATTTGTCTCTAATCATAATCAACCGAGTGCATTAATGTCTAGCATTTGTATTGATGTCCAGTGGTCAGTTATCAAACGAACTCCATGTTTAATAAATTCTATCTACAAATTCATTTTCTCATTGTAAAATCAATTAATTTTGTGGCCCATGTAATTATTAAAGAATTAATTAAAAGTGGTAAATATTGCTAAATCCTATTGGCCTAATTGGAAAGTGGCAGTTTTATAATTGTTCACTTTGATAGAAAATAGGTAGTTTTTATGGCCCATAAAAAATTGCTTCTCTCTATCTATAAATGTGAATGAAACTCATCAATTAAATCATTTATAATTACAGAAAGGAAAAGTGAGGGAACGATTTCTTTAATTTAACAATTTTTTTTGTTTTTTTGTTTTTTGTTTTTTGCAAATTTAGTTACTTGATTATTGAGTGGATTGGGGTATGTTTTTTGATTAATTAACCTATATGTGAAAATCATGGAATTCTTAAGATCTTGAAGTTAGGGTTAATTGCTCACATGTTGTATCAAAGTTATGTTAAAAAATTCTTGATTTTCTTTAAAGATTATCATTTTCCACTTATTGATCCTTAATTATTTCTTATAGATTTGGGGATTAAGATGTAAAATTAGAATAAAATGTCGTTGTTGAATATTTTGACAACTGTTATTCCAATGTTTGAGAGTCATTTTTATGTAAAAATGTATTTTAGAATAGTAACTTGATGAGAAGTATGTGCTTGAAAAATAAGGAAATTTTTTTGATTTACGTGTAATATTATTTTAATAAAGAATGTGTGATTAAAAAGAAGAGAGAGAAAAATATATTTTGAAAAAAATAGGTACCAAACAAGGGGCTTAAATTGAATGTCATTAGAAAGCATGAATTAGTGATTCTCAAGATTTGGGATGCCGTACTGTACACTTATGCCTTATTCATTTTAGATTGATTTGAGAAAAGGGTCGGTGCATTTGTTTTTCCAATCAAGAATTATGGACGGCTTAATGTTCTAAAAGCTAGAGTTCGTTGGCCACAGTGAATTGAATAGTGAGTAAAGGGAATAAATTTTTATTATTTTTTTCTTTTTTAGTGAAACATTGTCTAAGGCCTCAATTTCCAAGAAAATGGCAGAAGTATTTTTAAATTGATTTGAGAAAAGGGTCGGTACACTCATTTTTCCAATCGAGAGTTATGGACGGCTTCTGAAAAGTAGAGTTGGTTGGCCACAGTGAATTGAATAATGAGTAAAGGGCATAAATTGTTTTTTTTTTTTTGGTCAAACATTGTCTAAGGCCTCGATTTCCAAGAAAATGGCAGTAGCATATATATATAGTAAAGGGCATAAATTGTTTTTTTTTTGGTCAAACATTGTCTAAGGCCTCGATTTCCAAGAAAATGGCAGTAGCATATATATATATATATACACACACACATATATACATACATACTAGTCAAAAGTAAACGTGCGTTGCACGTTGTTTTGAAATGCTTTATAAGTACGTAAAAATAATATTTGAAGATGCATGAATTAGAGAGATAATTGTGAGAAATTATGTATCTGAAATCAATTTTTTATTCAATGAGAATCTCTTTATACACTATTTTTGTTTGTTTGATTCGGAGTACAATCTTCAAGCTTCCACTCACAAAACTCTGCGACATACTTGTTTCTGAGCTTCTAAGCTCTGAATCTCATATTCGTTCACTCTTATTCCCTCGATTGCTGGTGTTGCAGAAGCGTTCTCATTAAATGTTGATGTTGAAGACCTCATTCATTTCAAAATTTTCTTCAAATTGACTAAATTACATTGGTGGACAGATACTCAGAAACAAATAAAAAACATAACAGATGTCAGTTGAACAATTTTCTCCCCTTACGATCGAGGGTAAACCTTGATAAAAAGTTGAAGGTAATAATGAATCCACTTTCTTACAGGAAAGTAGTATCTGATAATGTACACATTTATAGGTCTCATAGTGCTCCGGAGAACTATTCTGTGTCTCCTCTGTGAATAATCAATTGCCTGAACAAATAAAGGAAATTCATAAGTATATATGCAGTACAGATTCTTGTGCAATACTTGTCTCTAAGTTATTTGTCACTTTTTTAGAAGAAAGTAAAGAAAACTAACCTCACCAGGATCTGGAACTTCTAAAGTGGTGCCATGTGGAGCTTTAAGTGCTATCAAAATTTCATTCTTATGAAATAAACATACAAATGCTTCAGTGAGAAATCAATGAAAGCAGCAGGGAAGAACTGATGTGAAATACCTGAAAGCAAGGTAAACTCTTGACGTCGTCTTCAGTCACAAATAGCCACCTGGTGAAGAAAGGTATGTACGTGAATCTACTAATATTTGTGTGTGAGTACTTTGGTTATGAAAATAAATAATTGATGTAGTTAATGTCTTTGGTTCATGCATGCATTTACGTGTGAGTATCTTGGTTATGAAAATGAATAATTGATGCAGCTAATTGCTTCGGTTCATGCATGCATTTATCACTTTATATATGTGGCTCCTAGAATAATTAAATAACTCCAAAATTTTATAAAGAATAAATATGAGTCTTCACCATAAACTTCCCTTTATTTAATTTAATATGAGAAATCTGGTAAAAAAATATTTTTTAATTTCTTTTACAACCCGCAAACAAGATATTGGCTCATCAATAAATAACTAAAATAATACTGGAAATAACATTCTATTCACGTTACATGTGTGTCCAGTTTCTTTTGTAATAATAATGGTGAAGAAGAATATTAATTAAAATGCTTCTTTACTTTCAAAATTAGTCATTATTGTAAAATCTGAAATAAATCTCCAAAGTATTGTTCATTTATTTTTTCCCCCCACAATTTTAACAACAATCAATTTGTGAAAATAATATAAATAGTTGGGAGATTAATTTATTTATGTCTAAAACTCATGAGAAAAATCAAATTCATTCATGAACATGAAATTTAATTAATTTGAATCAATGAATATAGAAAAAGTGTGTACATGAACTACCATATGGGTACATGAACTTAGATTTTTATTTCTACTAATGTTTGTGTGTTGTCATAGGACTCATTCACCTCCTTTTCAATGTTAATTATTATTCATGCATGCAAAATAGGGGTAGAATCGTCCAAAAAATGATTCTTCCTACATGTGATATTTAGGGGGGTGTATTCAATTGAGACTTTGGGAGACTTTTTAAAGTAGGTGACTTTTGTGGACTTTGTAGAATTTTAAGTGATTTCTATGGATTTGGTAGGAATTAATAAAAGTTTTTTATGGATTTGTGGAGACTTTTACTAGAGACTTTTAAAAATTTTGAAGACTTTTTATATTTTTTAAAAGAATATATTAAACATATATAATGTAATATGTTTAACAACTTCTTATATATTCAAATCGTCCACAACTCATATAATTGAAAATGTAAAGTAATAAATCGTATTTTTCATGTCAATTTTTTTCCAAACAAAAAAAAAAAAAAAAAAAAACAAATATTTCGCCAAATATAAAGTACTTTTTCATCTTATATCAAGTAGATTAACAAATAATAAAAATATTAAAAATATATAGTATTTTAGTAATGATCAACAAAATAAAAATAAAAAAAATCAAACATTTCCAACATCATTCCACATGTCCGCTGCTAGAGCAGCCCTCCATACATTAGCATTCTCTCTTTCTTGTTCTTGACTCTCAAAAAATGATCCAAAATCTTTCCCCTCATTAATCGAAAAAGATGAAGAATCTTCGTTATCAGGTTCGATTGAAAATTCATCGGACCGACATTCATTCCGGAGAAAATTGTGTAATCCTGCACAAGCTAATATGAGTTCGGCTTGTGTACGATATGAAAATGGAGGAGCTGTTTTGAAAATTGTGAATATTGATTTAAATATACCAAATATCCTCTCAACTACGTTCCTCAAGGAAGCATGACGAAGACTAAACAACTCTTTTGTATTTTCAGGGTCAGGACTTTGACCAGCAAAATCTTGAAGATGATAACGGACACCTCAAAAAAGAGTTAAAAACTAGCGTCGATTTGAAAATCCACAGTCTCCCAAAAAATATTTACCTGAATATAAAATACTTGTAAAATTAACAAGTAATTACGAAACAATAAGATAAAAGAAAAAATGAAATTATAAAGTCATACCTTGTGGCACTTTAAGTCAATTTCTCCTTGTTAAAGCATCACTCAACACTTTAGAATCATGTGCTGATCACTCCCGCCCACTAATCATGTATATAAATTTCAAATCAAAGTTACAAGCTGTCAAAATATTCTGAGAAATTGTTCCATGACGATTTCTGTAACTGCTTATATCATGTCTAGTTACAATTGCTAGAAAATGGGTACCATCCATTGCTTCAATACAATCCTAAAAATAATAAAACAGTACAACGAATTCACGAAAACACTAATGAAAACATAAAAGAAAAATTATAATACGTCTTATTTCATCACTTACTTTAAAGTAAGAATAAAATCTTGTACTTTTCCTTATTTTTTCTGGCACAACGAATCCCAGTTTGACCATCATATCTACCGCAAATTTGTTTAATGTCTATAAAATCTTGTTGAAACTTCGGCTAGTAGTGAAATGTGATCGACCAAATTTTTTACGAATCAAGCAATATCTAGTATTTTGACCAAAAAAAAGTAGGAACGTTGCAAGCATTTCTTCAACACAAATATAGCTAGTATCCTGTAAGGGTGTTTTTTCTCTAATGATATTGCTTAATTTCAGAAATATATCTGGATACATTCTATAAACTTGTTGAAAGTTTTATGGATCCTCCTTTAATATTTTATGTATATAGTTATATCCATATCTAGTTTTTGGTCGTCTAGTTAATGAACATGTAATACGTGTACAATGCATATTATTTACAAGATCATTTATCACATAGAGAATTGCTTGAATTGCCATCCATAAATATCGTCTGGTTTCATATAATGCTTCCTTATAGTCATCTTTTTCATTCCCATCCACTTCTTTTTCATGATCTTCATGTATATTAACATTAGACATTATATATATGGAAGTACCTAAACATAGAAGGAACAAAATTTAATACATAGACAAAGATAACTATAATGTAAATGAATCAATTGTCATCAAATTAATAAAATATCAAAACAATACAACCAATAAATCAAACAAAAAACAATTCAAAAACTTCAAAAGTTACTACCAATCATATCCCAAAAAAAAAAAAAAGAAAAAGAAAGCCTCAATTTAATTTAAATGTTATCCATTTAGAACGTTCTTTGGGCGTCATGCTCAAGAACTCAGACTTTTTTGCTTTTGTATTAAGCAAATCCAGGACCTTGAAACGATCATAATCATCTAAGTTTGGGATCTCCTTGATAATATTCGAACAATTAGACTCTCTGGTGTCAATTGATTCAATTGCTTGAGTGATCTTGCCAATTGTACTAGCAAGTTTGTCTATAATGTCTGATTGAGTGCTTTGGGCTCAAACGAACTAGATTTTGCTTCAAATTCTATTCTACTTCGTTTTCGAATTGATGGGAAAACCTCTGAATTATAAAATCTTGCTTATCGATTACTATAAATGCTTCAGTATCAGGATCATACATGAAGTCGTCTATTAAACTGTCACGAACTCTTCTTTCTTCAGTATAAGAAGTTCTTGCATTAGTATCATCCCCTAATGCAATTGAGTGTGTCCGAACAGCTGTTCCACTTCCAACTGCAATTCTCAAATCCTCATAGTCTGGAAAAGTATCTGTGCGATAACTTTTATCTTTAGGATGTGACTATTAAAGGAAAAAATATGTATGAATGCTAATATATGAATCATACACTTCACTAACCAATAACTCAAATTTCATATGTTTCTAAATCAAGTAATAAAGGAAGCTCACCATAAAGTAATCGTCCCATACTTCGTCACTAGCAGTGAATTTCTTCGTCACATGATCCCATCCGAACCCAGAGTTATGACGTATAAGCTTAGAATACTTGTTGTACTGTTTTTAAACCATTTCACACGACTTTTATATTGGGCATAAGTCTTTTCAACCCCAAGTTTTTGGTTAAGATGAGGAAGTATATGTTTTTCTACAGTCATCTTGCTCAACAGACCATTACTATCACGCCAACCACGTGTGGCAGCATTAACCATGAGTTTTAAAAGCTCATTGCTTTCTTCCGACGTCCATTTCTCATATTTTTCGGTACCTTTTACTTGAACCTTGTCATTTCCTTGTATTGAATCTTCCATTAGAACTAGTGTCATATAATTAGAGAACAAATATTTAGACAAATACAAAATGATATACAAAATGAGCAACAAAAGGTCAAGCAAACATAGCTACTTCAGTTCCAAAAATGGACATATCAATATTTATGATGTTCATGTTAATAAGTAAATAAAATTTTAGACCTATTTTAGACTCGAATACCCATCTCTTACTAGCCGGGGGTTCTAATCCCCATACCAAAAACCAGTAAATAAAATATCACTTCTTGTGTATTGGGCTCACAATTTTAGACATGTTTCTGTCTGTACTGTTAGTTCATTTCATGTTATGTAGCATACTCAGTTGTACTTACCCAAGAATTTCAAGCAATAATCCTTACTACTAGAGTTTTTACTTTCCATACCGCTAGCTAAAAATGGCAAAATAAAAACCTCATCATTGTAGCATGTAATTAATTTATTTAAGATAAGCTTCTTCTGAATCTTTATGTAAAATTTCTTGTGGGCGTGTGAGTACAACTACTTATGGTAACTGCATTATGATGGATGGCCTTTACCATATAAATTAACCTAACTCTTCCTATGACAATCCTCATTCCACCTAACTCCAACAAGAAGAAGCATATGAATCAGAACTCTTATTCAATGGGATTTTGCACATCAAAACAGAGTTTTAGGTTGAATCAATCCCAATCCCAATCCCAATCCCAATCCATTTCTGTGCACTAGTGTGTCGTAAGTGGATTCCTGATCTCATTTTCACCTACCAAGTCAACATCTAAACTACCACCAACCTCGACGAGTTGGTTTACATGGACCCGAAAGTCGTTTCCTTCTCCTATCAAAGTCTCTTTTCTTGCATTCACCAAACTCACATTTCCCTACACTTTTCTGGGCTTTTATTCTTAAATCCCCTCTCTCTTTGTGATCGTTTTTTTTCTTGAAAAATGGAGTCAAGGATGTTAGGATTCGCCTGTCCAGGTGTAGTAAGCCCCAGTAATTCCAAGATTTCAAGATTAAGTACCCTGTTGCCCACCAAATATGGAACAAAAATAGCAGCTTTTGGTGTCAAAATTCAAGATTTCCTAAACAGGGTATTAAGCCAATTCAAGCCTCTGCAACTTCCATTGGGTATCGAAACTCTTTTTTTCCTTTCTGAATTTCAAATTGAGCTTTTAGTATTATTGGGTAGTTGGATTCTTCTCTGTCCTGTGGAATTCTAAATTGGTTCTGTCTACATGTTCGTGGTGATCTAAACTACCCAATAAGAACTCAAATTAAAATATTTTTCATTACCATGGAACAATTTGAGCTTGGATTTTTCGCATGATCTGATACAACTCATGCGCGTGCGTGTACATTTTTATATACTATAAAAAATGTGTAAAAATTACAGATTTTAACATCTATATAAGCAGATTATTAAGCAATTATAGTTCAAAAAAATTCAAAGCAGAGAGCAACGTACATGATTTCAACGATAAATTTTGAAGTTAGACCTTATTAAACAAAATACTCATAGAGGAAGAGATAGAGAGGTGCAAAGCATGATTACCTGATTGAAGGAGATGGAGGAGAAACCCTAGAAGAAAAACAATCAGCCGGCTTGTTAGAAATCTCTCGATGGATGAGAGATTTTTGTTGTGAGAATTCTATGGACGGTTTCTACCAAAAGTCTCTGAAAGTCTACGAAAATATTAATTCTCCGAAGGTCTTTCTTAATTGAATACCCCGAAACTTGTAAAGACTCTTATAAAGTTTTAATTAAATACCTCGAAACTTATAGAGACTTTTTAAAAGTCTCAATTGAATAAACCGAAATTTTTTAAATCTCCCAAAGTCTTTAAAAGTCCCTATTGAATACACACCCCTTAGTGTTTGTGTGTGCATTGTGCACAGTAATATAATTAATGAAATGAAGATATTTGTGGTATTTACTGCACAGGATAAGCATTTTGAAATTAACTTGTAAGATTATATGTGAATGATAGTTAAATGTGGTTGTTAGTATTTCTGACTGCCAACATATATTTTATCATTGCTCAAACAGTCAAGTGATTGATATATTATGGATTTTGTGGCAAAACAAGAGTGTGTAAATATGAAAAGAAACATTAAGTGATAAATATTTTATTTATGTAATTAATGTTAGATTAAAATTGTTTGTTAGTCATCAAAATGTCCAAACATTATGGTATTTCGAATATTAAATTAGGGCTGTAAGAAAAAATCGTCAAACCGGAAAATCGAATCGAAATCGCATTTTAGAAATCTTCGATTTGGTGCCACGTGGACCGATTAACGAAATAGTTTTGAACCAAATCAATCCAGTCAAAATGGTTTGGTTTAAGATGAAATTTTTTAATTGCAGTTTAAAATCAAACCGGACTGGTGAAACAATTATATAAAAATAAAAAAAATGATAAAATGAAATTTTTTGAAAATTCATATAAATACGTAAAAATCAATAGTTTTGTCATTTGTGGATATTTTTGTCAATTTCTAATTTTCTAATAAGTTATATTATTATTATTATCCAATAATCCTTATCTAATAATTTCAAGGCTAACATAATCTATCAAAAGTCATTTTCCTCTTCAGAATTTAGATGAACTCCTGCCGAAACCCAACACAGTCTTGAGCCTCGGCACCACACACTTCTTTTTCAGATTTTTCACACATCTTCAAAGTTGAATTGAAGTCCATTATATCAAATCAGAGACATAGAGATCATAGACATTCGGTGATAATATTTGCTACAAATAAAAATTAAGAGCAATAATTTTTTTGGAGCAAACTAAGGTAAAAATATGAAATTAAATGCGTTTCGCAACATCATACAAACGTAAACTTGTATAATAGTTATATTTAGATATTATAAATAGCTGCTTTAATATTGTGGTTGGTTATTCTCTTTGTTTAATTAGTATTCTTTTTTCAGATATGATGATCACGAGGTCTTGTTGGACATCATTATGTTTTTTATGCCTTATATCTAGTTTAGTGGACTTGTATTGTAACATTATTGTATAGTCCATAGCCTAAAAAATGTGAACAAAAATGAAAAAAAAAAAAAACTAAGTTTTAATTTATTGTGATTTCACTTTGATTTAGTTGGTATTTAAATTTATAGTAGATATATTTAGCCCCTGTTAGAACCATATTTTTCATGTCATCATAATGAGAATATTGACCATTGGATAGGAGGCTTGGTCTCATACATGAAACAGCAGGTCAACAAAAGCGGCTCGACTTGTAGAATAAAGATCCAATTTTTCATTTTTTTTGTCCCAAAAATTTTGTTCAAACATGCGTTTAGTTTATTTTACATTTATTGCTAATAAGATATAAATGTATATTGAATTCAATGAATTAATGACATAAAAGTAGACAGGTAAAAAATTATATGACGAAACCGGCGATTTAAAATCGGACCAAACCGTTAGGTTTAGGTTTGAGTTTTTTTTCAAACCGTTCAAAATGATTTGATTTAGGTTTGAGTTTTTCTCAAACCGGTTTAAACGATTTGGTTTGAAAATCTGTCAAAAATTAGTAAAATCGGACCGCTTACACCCCTACACTAAATTACAGAATTTACTTGTCAATCACACTTTATAGTTTAATGCTTATAAATGAAGATGACATTACGATTATTATTTCAAGAGTATATTGACGTTCATAGATTATAAAATTTTAGATCACCTAAAGGGTGATCAGTTAATTTTATTAATCTTGAACATGATCGTGGTTAATTGATTTACTTGGTCAGATGTGATTTGTATATCCAAAGATATTATATATTTTTTATTAGAATATATTTAATTACCATTTAAGTGAAAGTAAATTAGCATCATTATGTTTATTATAATGGTATAACGTAGTGTCGCAAAAAGGAGAACTACGATATACATTTAATGTTACCTGAATCTGAACTAAGTGTTTAAGTCTAAATTCAAGGCATTAATGTTAGACCATTTTATATTTTGCAGTATATGTTCTCGTTTCTCTGTATACGCATGCTTCATCTGTACCACTGTTCAATTGGCTCAATTTCTCTAACTGGTGTAAACAAGTCCAGTTCAACTTAGGTGTTTTAGACTTGGACTTGGTACTTCAAGTTGAGAAACCTGCTGACCTTCATGATGAGGGCAGTGCTAATGAAAGGTCTTTCCATAATACTTGAGAAATTTCTAACAAATTAAGCCTAATGTTTATGCGGATGACATTAGCAAAGAATATGAAATCTACAATCCAAAAAACTGAAATTGCTAAGGAATTATGAAGTTTGTGAAGGACATTCCCAAACAGCTAACAAATCACTTGCTATCACACTAATGGGTACCTTAACAACCATGAAATTTGATGGTCCTCGTACCATGCATGAGCACGTTACCAAAACGAGTAACATTGTACCAAGACTTAAGACTCTTGAGATGACTGTGGATGAGAACTTTCTGGTATAGTTTATCATCAACTACTTGCCTCCCTAGTACGGTCAATTTCATATGAACTATAACTCCTTAAAGATCAATGGAATGTGAATGAATTGCACAGTATGCTCGTGCAAGATGAGATAAGGCTTAAGAATCAAGGAAGTTATTTTGTTCATCTCATAAGTCATCAAGAAGTTGGAAAGAAATATAAAAAAAGGTCTAGAAAAGGCATTAAGAAAGGACCATTAAAGATAAATGAGTCTTCTGTCCAAATCCATAATAAGGAACACAAGAAAGATACGTGTCATTTCTATCACAAACCTAGGCACTATAAAAGGGACTGCTTGAAACGTAAGGCATGGTTCGAAATTAAAGGTAAGATTATTTTTTATGTATGTTTCGAATCTAATTTGACAGAAGTTCCTTATAATACTTGTTAGATTGATTTCGGATGTACCACTCATGTTACTAATACGATGTAGCAATTCCTTTCAATCCAGACCATAAATCCAAATGAAAAATTTGTCCTCATGGGTAATCGAGTCAAAGCTCTAGTTAAGGACATTGGAACCTATCGTTTGATTTTAGATATTGGACATCATTTAAATTTATTTTAAACACTTTATATACCTTTTATTTCTTGTAATTTAGTTTCCTTATTGAAACTTGATTCTGTTTTATATTTCTTTAATGGTGGAAATAGATGTTTAAATTTGTTTAGGCAATATCATCTTATTGATTCCGCTATTCTTTGTGATGGTTTATATAAATTAAAGCTTGATAACCTCTTTGTCGAGACTCTTTTGACCTTACATCATAATGTTGGTATTAATCGTGGTTTGCTGAATGAACGCTGCTAACTTGTGGCATAAATATTTGGGTCACATATCTAAGGAAATGATAGAAAGATTAAAAAAGAATGAAATTCTTTCTGACTTAGATTTTAGTGATCTTGGAACTTGTGTAGATTGTACTAAGGATAAATAAAATAAACACACAAAGAAATGAGTCACAAGAAGCACACAACTTCTTGAGATAATATACATTGATATATGTGGGCCTTTTAATCTTCCATCGTTTGGTAGATAAAAGTATTTTATCACCTTTATTGATGATTTTTCATGTTACGGCTACGTCTATCTGCTGCATGAAAAGTCTCGAGCTGTAAATACTTTAGAGATCTTTATCAATGAAGTTGAATGGTAATTAGACAAAAAGGTGAACTAATAGAGGCGATGAATATTATGGAAGTTATGATGAAATTGGATAACACTCTGTAGTCTATTTCTAAATTTCTTGAATGACATGGCATATGTTCACAATACACTATGCCAGGCATACCATAACAAAATGGTGTGGCTGAAAGGCGTAATCGTACTTTAATAAAAAATGGTTAAGTGTATGTTAAGCAATTCGTCTTTACCCATTTCTTTATAGATGTTTGCATTAAAGACTGCTATGTATTTATAAAACAGGGTTCCCGGTAAGGCAGTTCCAAAGACTCATTTTGAAGTGTAGATGGAAAGGAAATCCAGTTTAAGGCACTTATATGTTTGGGGTTACCCAACAGAAGCAAGAATTTATAATCCGCATGAAAAGAAACTGGGCTCAAGAAAAATCAGTAGATTTTTCATTGGTCATCCAGAAAAATCAAAGGCGTATAGATTTCAGTGTCCTAACCATAGTACTAAAATTGTTGAAGCTGAAAATGTGAGGTTCATTTAGAATGGTGAATTTAGTAGGAGTTTGGAACCACGAAATGTGGAAATACAAGAAGTTAGAGTTCATATTTCTCTACCTTCAACTTCTTCTAGTATTGTTGTTTCTCGAATTGTTGAAAGGTATGACAATTTACCCAAACAACTAATAAATGATCACATACCCCGAAATAAAGTTGCCACTGATGAACCTGCATTAAATAAACTATAAGAAATAGCATTAAGAAGGTCACAATGACAATGTAGACCTGCTATTTCTGATGATTATGTGGTTTACCTGCAAGAGTCTGAATTTTACTTGGGAATTGTTGATGATGATCCAGTTTAACTTCAATGGCTATTGAAAGCGCTAATTCTAATAAGTGTTTAGATTCTATAAAAGATTATTTGAAATCTATTTAGCATAATGAAGTTTGAGATCTCGTCGAATTATCAGAATCATGTAGAAGAGTTGGATGTAAATGGGTATTTAAGACCAAGTGCGACTCTAATGGTAATATCGAACGATATAAAACTAGAC